CATACTGATTCCAGATAAAATACTGAAGCTTTTAATGAATGGAGAAAATATTTCTGTTTATATTCATCTAGTCCTTGTGGTCTGCTGGGGGGCACTAGTAGCCAGATTTGGTGTATTCGCCACTGATTATCATCCTCCAATTCTGGTTCAAGTATGAACTACATTTTGACACTACAGCTATGGATTCCAAACTGCTGATTATAGGCCCCTTGAGGGTATTTATGTTCCAGGAAGTTCTGGAAATTTAAGTGATAGTTATTGGGTTTGCCAATATTATTTTAAGGAATATTCACACAGCAAATAAAAAGTATATGAATGATGCTGCACTGTTCTTGAAAATAATATTATTGTTCATGATGTGTTGTAACTGCACAGCTCTGATATACAGTTATGGCTTCCTTTAATTTTAAAAGAGAAATGATCTGTGAAACATCCTGTAGAGGATTAGTTGTCTCTGTGGTGATATGTCAGGTTAAGTTCGTGTGTGGAAAGAAATAAAGGGAGACATAAGGGAGAAACTCAAAAAGTAGTAACAGTTTTTAAATGAAAGTTCAAGTACAGTATTCTGAGTTTCCAAAGAAGGTGTTTACAGAGTAATAAAAATTTCAGGATCACTGTTCTGTAGTTATAGTTCATTGCATACTGTATAATTAATAGATGACAGACATTTTTAATTTTTTCAGGTATTTCCATTGTTGACTGCACACACTTACCAAATGTGGCCCAACCAAATCCCACCATCGTTATTACAAACCGGATTGTGAAAAGTAATGTCGACTGTTCTACCAGCAGAATTATTCTGCAGACAATGAGGGCAATTGCTGTAGGAAGTAGGCAGTATCCAAGGACACATACACTCTGGAAAAACGATCTAAAATAAAAGAAAAACACTCTAGTAATGAGCCATGTTTGATACTGTCATGGTATCAGACACTTTTTCTTAAGTAAGAGGAAAATGAAGGTAGCTCTTTATCATTTTCTTTATGTAAACAAGTAAATGACAATGTGTAATGAGAAGCACTTTCATTAATGCTTTCAACTCCAATACTGAAAATGAAACAAAATAAGCAAAGCCTATTAGAGGAATTCATCATAATGAAGGGAAAAAAAAAGCACAAAAGAAACCAGCATCTACCATGTGGTAAGAAGAGTGGAGCTTGCCACATGCTTCATGCTGGTTTCTTGCTTAGCTCATGCTCTGACCCTGAAGCTGGAAGGAACATTTTCCTCCAAAACGTTGGCTGACTTTCAACAAACTATGTTGGTAGGCTGAAAAGTAATGCACACATGCTTGTAGAACGCGAACAAAAACAAATAGCAAGATCGGGCAAAAAGTACATTATAGTACAATTCTTAAGTTTCGAAAGCATATACAGTAAAACTTGGTTATAGCAACATCGGTTTCTGCAACACCTTGTCTATTACGTCAAATATTCAATGGTACAAACCAATTCCTCATAAAGCAACTGTTTTTATACCTTGCTTAGTACGACATGCACAAATGCATCAACCTCGTATGTAACGTCATTTTAATTCCTGAATTTCTCTGATATCGTGGGAAAGTTCGATGTGTCTGCCCACCCTCACTTTCTCTACTTGCTGACGTGACTGTCCTGGAAGAATACGACCGCGGGCTGCAAGAGGAGCGTGGGTTTTATGCGAAAACAAGGGTGTGGGGTGGGACTGCGTGAATAGTGCAAGAGGACGCGGCAGGTTGTTAACTGCATTCCTTTCCTAGAATCTCGTCTAACAGGACCTCACATTGTCTACTTACCCTATAGTGTTCCTGC